CCTTAGAAGTGCTTGCCAAGTGAGTGCTTTCAGTTCTTTCTTGCTTCAACTTTTCTTCCTCTTGCGGACAATATGAAATGAGCTTATTCAGAAACCATTTCTCATTCTGGCAGTTATAACTGACCTTAAATTGACTGAGTTGTGCAGGAAGCGAGATTAATACCAAATGTACGAGCAAGTCATTAGACAGCTCGAGCTTTAGTCTCTTAAGTTTTAAAGCAATGTGAGACATCTCCATGATGTGCTTCCTTATATTTCACATGCCTTTATACTGGACTGAAATTAAGTTTTACAAAAGCGTGTTTGTTTCAACCTTATTGTTTTTCACAAAACACTTCTCAATTTCGGCGAGGAACACCTTGGCATTAGTTACTTCTTCGGATATTGTACCTCTAAAAGCTTCCAGAATGCCGCGCTTAATGATCATTTGAGCGATCCCACTTCTCAAAGTTCCTCGTGTCATCAGGTAAACTTTGTTCTGTAAGAGGAGTTAGTTGCTCAATCTGGAGCGCAAAGTCTAGATCCATGCAGCCAAAAACAATCAATATGTTCTCTTTCCAATCCTTGAAGTATGTCCCGTAAAGCATGAGAATAGAAATAGCATTGACATATATAGTAATAACAGATGAACTAGCTGTATAGAGAACAAAATAAACAAACAACCATGCTCTCATCAATATCCACACTTAATAATCAATAAAATCAAATAATGGTAAGCCCCATCTTAAGATACCTAACACAACATTAATATCAAGTTTTTGGATAGTAATATTAATTGCAAGTGGTACTCTTGGTATAGTGATCAAACATTAACAATAACTCATGTCAAATAGTATACTTACCTTTGAATTAATTTATTATTCACATGAAAACTTTATAATTGTCACACATTCACCATTCCAAGTGTATACAATTCGGCCAAATATTAACCTTCCTTTGAGCTGACTAATACACACATGAACAAGCACACACACACACAAACATCTAAACATCCCAAACAAACCAATCTATACAAAAGAGGTCACTTTGGTGACATATTGTTTCAATTTGTTTATTTAATTTATCATAAATGATTTACCAAAATATTTGAACTTAACGCAGCAAGAATGAACACTCATATGCAGTAGAACAACAAAAAATAAAATAATTTGGTTAATAAAACATAATTTTAATGACCACAACACATGTACCAAAAAAACAAAAATGAAAATCAGAAAAGCAGAACCTTTACTACATCCATTTGTCATGTGTCATTTTATAAGTTACTACCCATATAATAATCAATAAAGCTACTCAAACATATTTTATAAATGATTATGGTCCCCATAAAGCCACTTGAAAAAAAAAAATTGAAACTCCCCAAATTTATACACAATGGACAATAGGCCATATAATCCGATTGTGAAAACCAAGAAACCAACATTTTCTTCAACCAATCACAATATAACACATATGACTGAATCATATACTTTCTACAGGGTACTTCACTTTTCATCAATTAATTCTGGTGCAGTCAAAAAATCAAAGATGCATTTATTATTTTAACGAGCAAAACAGAAAAAAACACATTCAGCAGCGAAACCTTTTGTTCTTTACCATGGCGCCATGCCAAATTTTATATAATAACGTGAAAGAAGATCAAATAACTCAAAATTCAAAATTGCTAAAACCTTTATTTTTTTACAATTTCTCAATGATTCAACAACAGAGTGGCTTTGATGCCACTTGCAGGAACTGAAAATGATTAAGTTTTC